AAAGATTACTAAAAATAGTGCCATATATCTAAGGTTATCTTCTGTTTGTTTTCGGGACCACACAGATTGATAGGACGGCACCAGCATACAACAGAGTCCTTAATAGCTGGTTCCATGCTTAATGCAGGAAATGTTTAAGAAAAATGTGGAACATCTTGTTATACTAGATAACAAAGGAAGATATCAAAGGTTTTCTGTATCTGTATTTTGTTTTACATGAAAATAAATTTCAAAAAGTAAAATGAACAAGAGACTTCTACTCCTAGCTATGATGGAATAGTTTATGGTAGAATAACTTTCATGTAAAAAATAACCATGAAAACTGGATAAATCTCTTAAAAATCTGAGGATATCAACAGACTGCTGAAGCAAAAAGGGCTTAAACATCAGATCCTGGGGAAGGATGAATCTCAGGTGGGTGAGCCAAAAGACTGATCTCTTTTATCCTTTGACCATTTACTGATTCTAGGCATGCAGTAAGAGACTGAGGACTTGGATAGAGCACTGAAGCAATAAGAAACTGCTAAGAGACAGAGAAACCAGCAGAGATCTTAGTGCTCTCAAAGGGCACTAAAAGACAAAAATTAGGCTGCAGTTTTTTTGAATATTGAATAGGAGGGAGGGGTGTGGAACTTAGTCAACCACTCACCCTGTTTAACCATTAGGACATTTTCTAGATTCTGAAACTGTGCACAATGGAAGATTAAGAAGCTAATCAGAGAATCTTTGGGAAAAAAATGGATTTGGGGGGCAGTGTCAGATACTGAGTATACAAGGATTAGAACTGCAAGTGAGACAGATCCAGGGAACACACTTGGCAGAGAAGTTGCAACTTTATTATTTCTCACATTCCCTTACTAGCTAGCTGGCTTCCTGTTAGGTTCTGACGGTGGAAGGCACTAGAGGGAGACTGTATGGCACCAGATAGGTAACAGTTGCCCTAGAACCAGTGATTTTTTGCATAAGAGATGGCTTTATAATTAAGCCATTGAGATTTAGGGATTATTTTACTACTCTAGCATAAACCTAGTCTATCCTAATAAAATATGTAAAAAGAATCTCTGTACTTCATACCAGATACAAAAATAAAACCTAGGCAAATTAAAGATATAGATGAAAAAAAATGACTATAATGCTTTTAGAAAAGAGTGTAAGAAATACCCTTATGATCTTGGGATACAGAAGAATTTCTTAAAAAGACATACAAAGTGTAAATCAAAAAGGAAAAGCCTGATAAACTTGACACAGAAATTAAGAACTTCTGTTCAACAAAAGACAGAACTAGGATTAAAAAGACAAACTAGAAAAAGATATTTCAAAACATGTAACCAACAAAGAGCTTGTGTCCATAGTATATTAAAAACTTGTATGAATTAGTAAGAAAAAGACATGAATAGACAAATATGAAATCTAAAGGCTAAAAAGCATACACGAAAGTATTCAATGCCATTAATAATCATGTTAAGATAGAAAACACTATATACATAATAAACTAGTTAAAATGCAAGAATATGACAAGACCAGCTATTGGAGAAAGTTGGGATAACAACTCTTACTCCTAGTAGCAATGTGCTCAACCACTCTAGAATATATTATACTAGTAAAGTTGAAGACTCGTCTACTGAGATTCAGCATTTCCACTTCTAGATATATATTCTACAGAGATGTGTTTATTTGTACCAGAAATCATGTATAAAAATGCAATGACAGCCTTATTCATTAAAGACTGAAACCAGCTTAAATGTCTAACAGTGTATCAGTATATTATAGTACTGTCCTATGATAGATGCTAACAAAAGTGAACTAGACAAATTAACATAAATTACAGCTGCACAACAACATGAATGAATCCTACAAACAACTATCAGACAAAACAACCCAACACCTCCCAAAATATACTCTTGATTTCACTACAAAAAGTTCAAAATCAGGGAAAACAAAATAACTACTATTTATTTAGGGATACAGACCTTGATGATAAAACTACAAAGAAAAGCAAAGGCATGACCACCACAGATCACTAGACAGTGGTTACCACCGAGGTACTGGGGGTAGGTCAGAGATGTGATCAGAGAGGCTCACAGGGGCTCCTGAGGTATAAGTCTGAAAATATTCTCTTCTCTAACCCAGATGATGGTGACGTGGGTGCTCGTGCTCACTTTCATACTCTTCAAACTGTACATCTATGTATCATAAACAATTCTGGGTGTATATTTCAAATTTTTAAAGTAAGAAATTTCAAATTGTAACAGCATCACAACCATGGACATACATGATCTCTATGTTCTCTGAGATGCAAGAAGACTGACTGCTCACTTTCCAGAAAGGACAGTGATGCTTTGAGGAAAGATAAGTGGGAAACCGTGTCTAGAAGCTAACATCAGAGTTTATCTCTCAAGATTTCATTATCCAGACTCTCCCTGTACAGAGAAGATGTACAGGAAAATGGTAAACTTGGTAAAAGCTCCCCATCTTAAAAAATATATAGTCTAAATAAAGCTCGTCAAGGCTTCTGGCAGGGAGGGACATTTTGTTTTTTAGTTAAAGCCACATTAATAGAAATTCCATAAAAACAAGCATGTAAACAAGGTATTAGAACTTTGGTTCACTGAAACATCTCACATCTAAAGCATTTGAAGTACAAAAGCACCTTGCTATGTGCCAGACCACCTCACTCAGCTCCAACCCTACCTGAGCGGCCGGAGATAGCACAGGCTGGCCAGAGAGGCTGTGGCCAAGGTCACCCAGGATGTTCCCCAGTCCACTCTCTACTCCACACAAATATTCATGCCTCCAAAAACCCGCCTGATGGGACTGGAACATGAGGGGGGTCTGCCACATTGAACCTGAAGACAACATGGGTTGTGGGGCCAGGAAGGTGAAGGGCAAAAAAGGATGAGTCAACTTCTGTTGATCCACACAGCCTCAAGAATTCCTGCCCTCATTCATAGAACCACTTATTGGAGAATGGACAGAAATAAGTAGATTAGTTCAGCAGCCAAAATGAATGATTCCTTCATGATGACTCCTACACTGGACCTGGGAGTCAGAAATGAGTAAGACTTGGTTTTGGGCATCAAGTTGCTTATGACCTGGTGAGGAAAAGAGGTAACTGTACAAAAGCCTGTCAGTGGCACAAAATATATGTGTGTAGGCTGCCACAGAAATAGAGCTAAAGAGCGTCTAACCATGTTGGAGAAGAGGAAACCCTAGGGCTGGGACAGAAAGCTGAACACGAGTTATCCAGGGAAGAAAATGGACAGAGCAGGTAGTTCCTATACCAAAGGGGTCTGGGAAGTGGGAAGAGGATGAGAAAGAGAGCAAGGAATGATCCACGCTGGTATGTGTCAAGGACCCCAAGCTTGATATTGCTGGTATACGGAGGGTGGAAACTGAGAGATAGGAGATGAAGCTGGAGGTTAAGATTATGGAAGTCCTGGACGTCAACCTCAAGGGCTCTGGCAAGTGGATCAATCTTAGGAAGCAGAGTTGGTGCTAGCAAAGTCTATTCCTTAAAGCTGTGCCTTAAAGGCTCATGAATCATGATTTCATTTCTCAATATAGACACATTCATAATGAATTCTAAAAATTGACTTTAACGCATTAATGAAGTCATAATACTTTAAAATATAATTTATAATACTTAATTTTAAAAACAATACATATACTTTTTTGGAAAAGTCAAACTGTTCCACAAGAATTACAGTGATACACAGCAATCTCCTACCTATCTCTTCTCACCACCAATTTCCACTTCCAGAGGACATTCAACTCCTTTAGCTGTTTCTTCTGATATTTATCTTTATTTTTCTAAATAATATACCTACAGTGCTATTTCTTTCAATTTTTTATCTTATATGATGATAGTCTACCATGGAAGATGGAGATTTGGAATTTTTTACACTACTCTTAAAATACCTATTTCACACTCCTATCTCCCAATATAGTTAAATTACAAGTTTAGTTAAATTAATATTTAGTGTTTACATTATTATGTCATTTAAGTAAATATTGCTCACACCTAAGCCATCTAATAGATAAAACAGGTGATTCTTGAACCACACAGGTCCATTTATATGTGAATTTTTTTAAGCAATTTAAATACTATAGTACCATACAACCCCACATTCAATTGAATCCATTAATGTAAAAGCACAGATATGAAGGAACCATGTACACAGAGGACCAACTATAAATTATATGCAGATTTCCAACTGTGCTGAGGGTCAGTACTCCTAATCCCAACTTCGTTCAAGGCTCAACTATACTTCTATTTCTTGTACAACTTTTTCTTTCTCCTGAAGTCAGCAATTATCTCATTTTCTTTTTAATTTGCTTAATTTTCCATGAACCTATTATTACGTATCCCTATAATTTTCTAAGAGGGCTATAAATTCTTCTCTTCGTGATCACTTCCTGTCACAACCTGCTTCAAGCCTCTCCACGGCTCACCACAGCTGCTTCCAGAACAAAGTTCAAGTTTCAGCCTCCATGGTTTGGTCCCAGCGTTGACCTTCATCTCTTGACCCCTGTGCGAAGGCCTCTTTCTGTGCAAGAGACAAAGGCAGCCTGTCTCCACACCTACAATGCTGCTTTTAGCCTGAGCCTTGTTCCATGTGGGCTTTGCTTGCCTGAGACACCTTTTCCCATCTCTGATTCCAGTTCTCCCTGACTGCAATCTCAGAACCCTTGCCAGAGTCCATTCCTCTTGACAGCCATGATCAAGAAGTCTCCACAATGTTCCCATAGTATTCTGAGAATGTTCAAGGGAAACTCAAATCAATTGTTTTAATATTCTCAACAAACTAAGTGGGTAGAAAGCTACATGCTGAAAGAGGGCTCTAAAGTAGTTAGTGTAGGAGATTCTATATAAGGAAATTGTCTTGCCTTCATAAGAACATGGAAGCAGTTCACTCCCAGCATAGAGTCTAAGTTTGACCACCAAAACCTAGTGTGAGGTCACAATGGCTAACCCCACTATTTATATCACTCACCCCATTTGCAGCCCACAAGCACAGGACAGGCAGCATTTTTGTTAGATAGTTGTCTTTCCCACTCCGCAGAAGGTTATACCAGAATATGGCTGTACCCTGGAAAGAGAGGGCTTATCAGAACGTATCCTGTTGCTGGTTTTGAGGAAACAAATCAGAAACAGTCCTTGGAAGACACAAATTTTGAACTCCAAAAGAGATGCCACTTGTGATAAGCACATGACCTATTTTTGTCCAGGGAAAGTCATCAGCTACCTATATAGCCACCACTCCAGTTTCACACGGTCTCTGGGACCTGGCCATGGAGTACTTCTGAAACTCCAATCTGAAAGGAAACACTCTCACCAAAGTGTAAGGGCACAGAGCTCTAGGATTCCATGGGCATTATGCAGGCAGTATCTACCCCTTATGACGTGGTGAACATCTGGAAACCCACCCGTCCTTGAAGGATCTCCTATACCTTTTTCCAAAGTAGTGGCCAAAAGATTATAGTCCAGGTACAAAGTTAGTTCCTGAGGCCATCACAGTCACAATAAAGCAAGCTAAGGAATGAAGCAGGGAAATGAACAAGTCCTGTGCCCTGAAGCAACCAGTGACCTACAAAGAACACAAATTACCTTCTTGGGTGAAATCATAGCCCCCAGGTATGGGAAGACAGTGGCAGCACCAGCTTCTACATCACTCATCTGTGAAAACAAAGCATAATAGTTAGCCCTTCTCACTCAAGGCTCTTAGACTCTATATCCTGCTTGATTTGGGAAGGATCCAGAACACAACAAGCTGGTTTTTTTTCCCTACCACCCATGGTCAGGTCTCAGTAAAGATCAAGTTGGGCAAATATTTCTGGTCACTGACTATAAGACCTTTCTCTTTGAGAAAGGGGAACTGTTTCATAGAGCAACAAGTTTATTTCTGTTGATACTTTCTGTGTGGGTCTTTTCCCCAGGCCTGACTCCTTTACTTCTTGAACTCCTCAACCTGGAAAAGGTGCTCATTCTTTTCTCTGCAAGGATTCATAAGCAAAAAAAAAAAAAAAAAAAAAAGAAAAAAAGAAAGAAAGAATTCATAAGCACCTGATACACAGTAAAAAAATTTTCCAACTCTGGAACAGTGATTAAAAAAAAAAAAAAAGGTGTATACATTCCCTGCCTCACAGTTGGAGCTCCCAGTTATGTACTGTGGTTCTCAACTTTGCTTCTGCCTGACATACCCCATCTGTCAAGAAGGGCTGACTACAATAGACATACACTTGGAAGGGGTCATGAGAGGAAGATGAGGCCAGAGATCAGTATCAGAGTCTCTGATGTCTATCAGTCACCAGTCTACTGGTGTCTGATCTCTAAAGGAGTCAGTGGCAGAGTTCAAGTGGAGGATACTTAAACCAGAGCTCACTCCATACTTCTCAGCCAGCTAATCCACTCCTTTACTTACCTAAAATGAAAGCACAGTTGTTGTTAAAGTGAAAGTCATTCAGTCATGTCCGACTCCTTCTGACCTCATGGACTACACGTCCATGGACTTCTCCAGGCCAGAATACTGGAGTAGGTAGCCTTCCCTTCTCTAGGGGATCTTCCCAACCCAGGAAAAGGACTCAGATCTCCTGCCTTGCAGGCAGATTCTTTACCAGCTGAGCCAAAAGGTTGTACAATATTATATAAGTTACAGGTGTTCAACAGAATGATTCACCATTTTTAAAGGTTATACTCCATTTATAGGTATTATAAAATGCTGGCTATATTCCATATGTTGTAACACTTATCCCTGTAGTTTATTCTATACCTATTAGCTTGTACCTCTTACTCCCTTACCCCTTTTCCCCTCTCCCCTTCCCTTTCCCCACTGGTAATCACAAGTTTGTTCTCTATATCTCTAAGTTTCCTTCTTTTCTGTCATATTGACTAGCTTGTTTTATTTTTTAGATTCCATATGTAAGTGAGATCATACAGTATTTATCTTTGACTTATTTCACTTAGCATAATGTCCTCCAAGTTCATCCATATTGCTGCAAATGGCAAAATTCTGTTCTTTTTTGAGTCTGAGTAGTTTATTGTACATGTCTACCACATCTTCTTTATCTGTTCATTTGTTTGGGCATTTAGGTTGCTTCCATACCTTGGCAGTTGTAAATAATGTTTCTATGAACTATGAACCAGGGTGTACATATCTTTTTGAATTAGCATTTTTGCTTTTTTCAGATATATACTCAAAAGTGGAATTGCTGAGTCACAAGGTAAATGAGTCATAAAAAAATAATGCTTTATTTTCAGAAATCTCCATTCTGTTTTCCATAGTGGCTACACAAATTTACATCCACACCAACAGCAAGAGGTTCCCTTTTCTCCATATCCTTGCCAACAGGTGCTATTTGTGTTCTTTTTGATGATGGCTGTTCTGACAGGTGTGAGATGGCATCTCACTGTGGTTTTGATTTGCATTCCCCTGAGGATTAATCACATTGAGCATTTTTTCACAAGCCTGCTGGCCATCTTCATTTCCTCTTTGGAAAAATGTATATTAAGCTCTTCTACACACTGTTTAAAAAAATTTATTTATTTTAATTGGAAGCTAATTACTTTACAATAATGTGGTGGTTTTTGCTATGCATTGACATGAATCAGCCACGGGTGTATGTGTGTCCCCCATACCAAACCCCCCTCTCACCTCCCTTCTCATTCCATTCCTCTGGGTTGTCCCAGTGCACCGGCTTTGAGTGTCCTATTTCATGCATCAAACGTGCACTGGTCATCTACTTCACATATGGTAATATACAGGTTTCAATGCTATTCTCTCAAATTACCCCACCCTTGCCTTCTCCCACAGAGTCCAAAAGTCTTTTATTTATATCTGTGTCTCTTTGCTGTTTCGTGTATAGGGTCGTCATTACCATCTTTCTAAATTTGATATATATGTGTTAATATACTGTTTTTTCTTTCTGACTTATTTCAGTCTGTATAACAGGCTCCAGTTTCATCTACCTTATTAGAACTGATTCAAATGCATTCTTTTTAATAGTTGAGTAATATTCCATTGTATATATGTACCACAGCTTTCTTATCCATTCATCTGCCGATGGACATCAAGGTTGCTTCCATGTCCTGGCTATTGTAAACAGTGCTGAGATGAACACTGGGGTACATGTGTCTCTTTCAATTCTGGTTTCCTTGGTGTGCATGCCCAGCAGTGGGATTGCCAGGTCAGATGGCAATTCTATTTTCAGTTTTTTAAGGAATCTCTATACTGTTCTCCATAGTGGCTGTACTAGTTTGCATTCCCACCAACCGTGTAAGATGGGTGCCTTTTCTCCACACCCTCTCCAGCATTTATTTTTTGTAGACTTTGGGATAGCAGCCATTCTGACCGGCATGAGATGGTATCTCATCATGGTTTTGATTTGCATTTCTCTGATAATGAGTGATGTTGAGCATCTTTTCATGTGTTTGTTAGCCACCTGTTGTCTTCTTTGGAGAAATGTCTGTTTAGTTCTTTGGCCCATTTTTTTGATTGGGTCATTTATTTTTCTGGTATTAAGCTGTGTGTGTTGTTTGTATATTTTTGAGATTAATTCTTCATCAGCTGCTTCACTTGATATTATTTTCTCCCATTCTTAAGGCTGTCTTTTCACCTTGCTTATAGTTTCCATCATTGTGCAAAAACTTTATTTTATTAGAACCCATTTGTTTATTTTTTTTTATTTCCATTACTCTAGGAGGTGGGTCATAGAGGATCTTGCTGTGATTTATGTCAAAGAGTGTTCTGACAGAAGGATTCTTAACCACTGGACCACCAGAAAGTCCAACTGTTCTCTTAAAATGGTTTAAGATGACAAATGTTACACTATGCATTTTACTACAATTTTTTAAAAGGTAGTTTTCTCTCCAGCCACACTTTTATAGAGCTATGTCCATCCAGAGAGTCTTCTTTGTCTAATTTGCACAAAGATGTCATAGAAGATGGCTGTGGCTCAAGGAACATGTTTCACAATAGTGTTCTAGACAAATGTTGAGGAACGAGTGGGGGTTATTGTAAGAAAAAATGTAGAGAGAAATTAATGTGTCCCAAAGATGATCAGATCCAAATGTTCAAAAACACAAATGGCAGACTGAGTCATCTTGAGAAAAACTATAATGTTTGAAAAGACTTGTTTCTGAAAAGAAGGCCATTCAGTTTTCACACATAGGTAGAAAAGAAACACATTTGCACAAGGCTAAGAAAACAGTCCTGATATGCTTGAAACGCAGGACACTCAGGACCAGTGCCTCCAGTTCTGAACCATAAAATGCAGCCTCGGTGATTCTGAAAATGGCCCAAGTATTTACAATCACCCACCGTGACCATAAAACTTTCCAATAATTTACCCCGAAAATGATTAATTTTAAGCAGAGCCATTTCTAATGAAACTTCCAAGATAAATCAGTTGCAAAAGTATACATTCAGGTAACTACAGAGTTGACCCACAGAGCACAAGTGTCAGATAGGATCCAATTAAATGTTGGCAGGTGGCTGATGTGGAGGTTAGAAAAACAGATCTTAATTCATTCTTTCAGATTGAAATTAGATACAAGTTTTAGTGAACTGTTGGGGGTCACTACATTTATTATCATTTTTGAAAGAATAGTTACAGTTTATCTAAAACCGGCTTAGGTAAAATTTAAAGAGAAGTCAGTACAAGGCACATTCCTCTTTTACCACATCATACAATATTACCTCATTGATAATGTTCTTANGTTGGATTAGTGGCTTGTCAAGGTTTCCTGGTTAGGGGAGCCTGCATCTGTGTTCTGGTGGGTGGAGCTAGATCTCTTCTCTCTGAAGTGCAATGAAGTGTTCAGTAGTGAGTTTTTGGGTGTCTGTGGGTTTGGCATGGCTTTGGGCAGCCTGTCTTTTAATGCTCAGGGATGTGTTCCTGCTTTGCTGGAGAATTAGCATGGTATGTCTTGTTCTGGAACTTGTTGGCTCTTGGGTTGAGCTTGGTTTCAGTGCAGGTATGGAGGATTTGGGGTCAGTTCTTGCCTATTAATGTTCTCTGGAATCAGGAGTTCTCTCATGTTCTCAAGTTCTGCAGTTAAGCCCCTTGCCTCTGGCTTTCAGTCTTATTCTTACAGTAGCCTCAAGACTTCTCCCTCCATACAGCACAGTGAAAAAAATCTAGGTTAATGGTGAAACAATTCTCCAAAGTGAGGGACACCCAGAGAGGTTCACAGAGTTACATGAAGGAGAGGGAGGAGGGAGATAGAGGTGACCAGGAGAAGAGGGGGAGTCAAAAGGGGAGAGACCAATATATCCAGTAATCAGTTCCCTAAGTGTTCTTCACAGTCCAAACACCCAGAGAGATTCACATAGTGAAATAGAGAAGCGGGAGGGAGGAGATAGAGGTGACCTGGGGGAGAAAAGGGAGCATCAAAAGGGGAGACAAAAATCAAGCCAGTAATCACACCCTTAAGTGAAAACGGATACTGAAGATTAGATTCTTAAAGGCACAAAATTTAACAAACACCAAAAAGCAAAGATTAAAAATCTAGAGTAGAGATTAGACTCTCAAAAAAACAATATTAAAAATACAAAACAAAATTACAAAAATCATAAAAAATATATATATGAATTTTGCTTTAAAAAGAGGGTCTTTTTTGCAAGGTAATAGTAGGTTATAAAAATGAAAATTAAAGGAGTAATAAAGAAAATTTAAGTAGTGATAATAGCAAAAATATATCTAGGAATTCCTCTGGAGTGGTTGTGGGCAGTGTAGCATCAGCTCAGTTTCAGATAGTTCCTTGTTCCAGCTTGTACTTGTTTGCAAGGTCTATAAGCCCCCTCCAATGCTTAGTCAATGTTAACTACAGGGTTTTAATCTGTTGCACCTGTTACTTTCAGAGTGGTTCCTCCTTCCTTGTTTATTTTGGCTTCCTCTTCTTTCAAGCCTCTTCAGTGTCTAGTTTTTACCCTGATACAAGAAGGCAAAGGTGGTCACTTATTTAGGCTCGGTTGCATTGTGGGGAGAGAGGGACACTGCAAACAATATCACTGGTGTGTGTGGGGAGTGCTCGCAGTATATGGACCACGCTGGGCTTGCCCCAGCTCAAGGTGGTGTGCTTCCCGGGTCTACACTGCTCAGGCTCCAAGGTGCTCTGCAGGGGCACTGTCCAAAGCGGGCCCTGTATTTTGTGCACTTCCCAAGTCTAAGCCACTCAGGTTCTTGGGTGCCCCAGAAGGGCACAGACTCTGTTGGGTCTGTGTTTTGTACCCTTCCCAGGTCCAAGCAACTCAGGCAACCAGGTGCTTGGTAAGCATACTGTTCTAGGCGGGCCATGCATCGTAATTACCTCCCCGGTCCCAGCCACTCATTTTCCCAGGTGTGCCATGAGAGCACCATCTCAGGTGTGCCATGTGTCTCCTCTGGAGAGCTGATCTCAGACTGCGAACCTCCTGGCAGATGTCAACTGTTCAGGATCCCAGGAAGACGTGGTTAGCAACTTGGACCCTGCTCAGTTTGGTAGAGGATGCCAATCTCAGGTCGAGATTGTAACAGTCCCTTGCCTTCCAGCTCTGGCTGTCACTCACCTGCCTCTCTGCCTCCGGTGGTGGTGGGGGTGGCGGGGTGGTCCTGCATGCAGCCAACTAGCCCTCCCTTGGTATTCGCTCAATCCTTTGTTCTGTGAGCAGGCCAGGTTGTGCGTTAGCCTTTCACGGGAAAGTTCTCTTTTTTCTGTCTCTCTGGCAGTCCCACAGTTTGGGCTGCTGTCTCATGTTAGCTCCCTCAGATTGTCCTCAAGGCATTCAGGCCCAGTCCTTACCCTAAGCAATGATTTATGCATCCCATACCTCCCTGCCCAGCCCCACCCCCACCCCCACCTTGCTGGTGGCAGAAGTATCTGGGCTACTTCTCCGCTGGCAGTTGTGGTTAGGCATGTATTCTGTGGATTTTTTTTTTCTTTCTCTCTCCCCATTATGTTGCCCACTAAGATTCCAAAACTCCCCACAGACACACCTGTGAGAGGGTCGCCTACTGTTTGGAAACTTCTCCTTCATGACTTCTTCCCCAGGATGGGTTTCCATCCCTAACTCTGTTGTCTCTCTTTTTGTCTTTTATATTTTGTCCTTCCTCCTTTCAAAGAGAATGGCCTGCCTTTCTGGGTGCCTGGTGTTCTCTGCCAGCATTCAGAAGTTGTTTTGTGGAAGTTGCTCAGCATTCAAATGATCTTTTGATAAATTTGTCAGGGAGAAAGTGGTCTCCCCATCCTATTCCTCTACCATCTTGGGACCGCCCCTTCTGCCCACTTTTTAATCAAGATTTTTAAAATGTTGAGTTGTATGAACTGCTTATATATATTGAATATGAATCTTTTATTGCTAATATCATTTGCAAATATTTTTTCCTGCTCAGTAGGTCATCTTTTTGTTTTGTTGACAGAGTTTCCTTTGTTGTGCAAAATCTTTTGTCCCATTTGTTTATTTTGCTTTTATTTCCTTTATTTTAGGAGATGGATTCAAACAAATACTGCTGTAATTTACGTCAGCATGTTCTAACTGTATTTTCCTCTAGGAGTTTTATATACCTAGTCTTTTTAAAAAATGTTTTATTTATTTGGCTGTGCCAGGTCTTATTTGTGGCACTCAGCATCATCCATCTTCATTGTGGCACCGTGGGATCTTCTAGTCGTAACATGCAGGATCTTTGGTTGCAGCATGTGAACTCTCAGTTGCAGCAAGAGGAATCTAGTTTCCTGACCAAGGATTGAACTGAGGACCACTGCATTGGGAGCTCAGAGTCTTAGTCACTGAGACACCAGGGAAGTCCCCTACACACCCAGTTCTCCATTTAGTTCTTTAATCCATTTTGAGAGTTTTTTGTACATCCCTTAAAAGAGACATCACTGGCTAACCCCTACTCAGTCCCCATGGACTTACCATTCTCAGAATTCACATAAAATCCATGGGTTGCTGTATCACCTGGCCCCTAGCTGGTAAAGCCCTGCTGCTATCCCTTTCTTGTTGCCAGTATCTTTGATCTACAACTCATCTCTGCAGCCTCAAGGATAGGCCTCTAGCTTTCTTCCAACTGCCTCTTCTCTGGGGTCCATGAGAAATGTTCTGTACAGACTACCTGGCCTAGGTTTCCCCTTCTCTGAGGCTTACAGCAGGAAACAACACCATGAGAGTCACTGGGCCATACTTTATCTGCAACTGCCCAGGAGGAGCTGATCCAACCCTGCTTTGCAAGGACTCCTTGAAAAGAAATATTTTTGACACATATCAGCCTGTGTTCTTTTGTCCCTTGTAATCTAATATTTTCCCCTTTCTCTGCCTCCTTTCAGCCAATCAGCCCAGGCCTCACACTGTAAAGCCTATGAGGCAGACAGTGTGGTGAGCCACCCAGATGCTTCTTTCTGGATTGAGGTATTCATTTCTGAAGCTGTCAGGAGTGTTGCTTGCTGATGACTCGCAGCTGCTATGTCCCTCTCTAGATACTGCCCTCATCTGAAAAGAACTGCCTCACCTATGTTACAACCTCCCTAGGGACAGTCTTTTTCAATGTTGGGCTGATGCCAGAGTAGGAAGGTCTAGGCATCTTGCCTCAATTTAGGGCAATTATAAGGGTCTTCCCAGTTTCAGACCTTCTCAGAGGGTTGACTCAGGTCTGTTTTGCAACTAAATCACAGTTCACCTTACTGCACTGCCCAACCCTGTTTCCCCCAATGTCTTGAATGCAAATCTCCAGTTCAGAGTCTGTATTTAGAATTGACCTAAAACCTGTTAGTAAAGTGAGTGGTTCTAATACACAGATTCTAAGATAAGATTTTGGCAGTCAGTTACCTCCTTGGTGGCTAGCAATGAGGACCCTATCAGTGGTGGAAGATGTAATATTAATAGTCCCTGGAATGGTGTAGTTGTATATTTGTTCAAACCTTCAGTAACAGCAAACTGGGATAGGATATTAGTGGAAAAGAACACACTGGTGGTGCAATATCTCAGGTGGCTAAAAGATACAGGGGTATAGTATACAAATTAAGGTTCCCCTAAAGATGTAGAAAAAAAACATATAGTTATCAGAGGGTAAACTTATGACTATCAGAAGGTAAATCAGTGCAGGCAGGAATCAATTAGGAGTTTGGTATTAACAGATACACACAACTATGTATAAATATCTTGCAATAATCTATAATGGGAAAGTTTGAAAAAATATACTACATATATAAATAACTGGGTTACTTTGGTGTACATGAAAAATAATATATAGTGTAAAACACTATAAATCAAGTATACTACAATTTTTAAAAATCTGAACTAGAAGCCACACACATGAAAACAGACGTGGAAGACTTGCATACTGATAACTACAAAGCACTACTGCGGGAAAGTAAAAAAGACCTAAATAAATAGAAAAACACCCCCATGTTCTTGAACTGGAAGACTATATTGCTAAATGGCAGTACTATGCCAACAACTTATAGGCTCAGTGAAATCCCTATTAAAATTCCAACTCCCTTGTTCATAGAAATGAAAAAAACCTATCCTAAAGTTCCTGTGGAAATGCAAGGGACCCAGAATAGCCAAAAATCTTGAAAAGGAAAAATAAAGTTGAAGTACACATTCACTGATTTCAAAACTTACAGTAAGAAAAGAACAATCTTTTCAACAAATGGTGATGGGACAAATGGATATCTAAGTGCATGAGAATGAAGTTGGACCCATAGCTCACACCACATGCAAAAATTAACTCAGAAAGTGCCCCAGTGGTTAAGATTCCAGGCTTTCACTGCTGTGGCCTAGGTTCAAGCCCTGGTAGGGGAATTAAGATCCCACAAGCTGCATGGCGCAGCCAAAAAAAAAGTTGACTCAAAATGTATCAAACTTAAATACAACAGCTAAAATTATAAAACTCTTAAGAAAAAAAACAGGTATAATTTTTGTGACCTTGGATCAAGCAATGGTTTCTTAGGTGTGACATATAAAGTATAAGTAACCAAAAGGAAAAGGACAGATTAACTGGACGTCATTAAATTTAAAAACTTTTATGCATCAAAGGACACCATCAAGGAAAGTCACAGAATGGGAGAAATATTTTCAAGTTATATATCTGATAAAATTCTAGTATCCTGGATATAAAAAAGAATACATGAAACTCAATAAAAAGACAACCTAATTTTAAAATGGACAATGGATTTAAATATATCTCCAATGAAGATAAAGAACGGGCCAATAAAAACATTAAAAGATGATCAACATCATTAGGCATTATGCAAATGCAAATATAAGTCAAAAGAAGATAATATATCACTCACCATAGGATGGCTATAAAAATAAAAAGCAGAAAATATAATAAGCGTTGACAGGGTTGTGAAGAAATGGTAACGGTCATACACTGATGGTGGGAAAGTAAAACAGTGCTGTCACTGTAGGAAGCAGTGTAACAGTTCCTATAAAAGTTAAACACAGAGTTACCATATAACCCAGTAATTCTACTTCAAGGATAACCAAGAGAATTTAAAATATCTGTTCACACAAAAATTTGTACATAAATCTTCTTAGTAGCATAATTCACAATAGTCAAAAAGTGGAAACAACCAAATGCTTATCAACTGATGGATAAACAAAATGTGGCATATTCATACAATGGCATATTATTTAGCTCTAAAAAATATTGAAATACATGCTACAACATGGATGAACCTTGAAAACTCTAAGTGAAAGAAAACAGACACAAAAGCCTGCATGTTATATGATTTTGTTTGTATGAAATGTTCAGAATAAATAAATCCACACAGGCAGAAACTAGATTAATGCTTGCCAGGGGCTGAGAAGGGAAAAAGAAGGGGAGAGTGTGAATTACTGTTAAAAGGACACAGGGCTTGTTTTGGGGGTGATGGAAACATCCTGGAATTATATTAATGATTGTTGCATCACCATGCTGTGCAATACACTAAAAATCATTGAATTATATACTTAAAAGGGTGAAATTTATGGTACATAAATTACATCTCAATAAAAATTTTTAAGAGGACAGATCTACCCCATTTACAAACATGGTAAAGCCTTGTAAAACCAGGTGCATTTCCCTCAGGACCTACATTCATTTCTCCTTCTGGTCACTACACCAACAACTGAAATCAAGTCACAGCATAACCTAACTAAAGAAGAAGTGGGCCTAATAAGGGAAAAACACACTGTATACTGAAGAAACTACAGGACCGCGTCAACATATTCCAGCAGGATCTAATTACTGGGTCTGGATTCTAAGGATGTTGGTGGGGGGTGGAGATGAGGCCTGTCACATGTAAAACTGGCACAGGTCTGTGTTTATTTTTACCATGCATCACATCTCTTTTCATACAATGTGAAGCACTCACAGATGTGATCATTTGGGTGATTTTCAAAACACTGCATTTCAGCACCATTCTGATAGCAATATATTTTAAGTTTGCACCCACATTTTGAGCTAACTCATTCACGACTGGAAGACTATACTGCTAACATGGCAATACTACCCAAATAATCTACTTGTTCAGTACAATTCCTATAAAAATCCCAACTCCCTTGTTCACATGAATGGAAAAGTCTACCATAAAGTTCCTGTTGCTGGGCCTGCCCCATCTTATGACATGGTAGATATGACAGACAAGAACCCAATGGGCAGCTTTGTTGCATAATCACTTCATATTTCAAGCTTAAACACTCAATTTCTACCACAAATACTCCATTTCTAACTTTCCTGCTACAGTACCCACTTAAAATTGGCCAACTTTCTGTTTTAGCTGTGAACAGGCAGAGGCAGATTATGGGATATGCTGCTCTGGACCAACTACTGGATATTTAAAGACTTCACAAATGTGGTAGGATCCTGAATTTTCACAATCTTTAATAGTTATGATCAAATGGCCAACTGGTCCTATCAGAGTCTACCATCCCAAAAAATGGTAGCCTGACACAGTAGAGATCTCTTAAAGATGCCAGTAAGGTGTTAGCTTGAATGCTCTAATTATATTCTGCAAAGACAAGGTCATCTTTCAGGATACATTCTATACGCCCAAATCAATAACTATAATACGCAGAATACGTGGGTTTGGGAACCCTGGAATGAAAATTGGAATGACTCCACTTCATGCCACTCAAGAGTGATTTACCTGGAGAATTTGTTTCCTATCTCTACAATTTTTAGGCTCTATTGATCTAGAGCTACCACAACCAAATAAGGTAACAATTAGCCATATATATCTGTTTGAATTTTAAAATGTAATTAAATTAAAAATCAGGTTCCTTAGTTGTACTAGTCATATTTCAAGTGCTCAACAGCCACATGAAAAAGTGGCTACCATAATAAATAGCACAAACACTATACATTTCCATTACTGTAGAATGTGCTATTGGACAGCACTACTCTACAGGACCGGATTACCAGAATAGAAAGGTTCTACCAGGGGATACAGAGAATCCTACTGAAATTTAAGCTATGGCTACGGCACTGTCCCTTCAAGCACTTCATGCCAAGAGACCAGGAAGAAATGAAAGGAGTCACTTTTCTGACAGGGTCATTGACCCTGATCATCAAGAGGAAATAGTGCTGGGACTTCCCTGGCAGCCCAGTGGTTAACACTCTGCACTTCTTCAGGGAGGTATGGATTCTATCCCTGGTTGGGGCACTAAGAGTCCACAGGGGGTGTGGTGTAGCCAAAACATTTTTTTTTTTTAAAGAAGATAAGTGTTGCTGTTACATAATGGAAATAAGTAAAAATATGGTGCTCAGGTGATCCGGAGGGTTTCTTGGACTTGTCAAATTTTAATAGTAATGGGACAAGTGTATCATTCATGCCCTCAAAACATAATGGTAAACAAGGCTCAGACATCTCAGGATGAGGGTTTGGGTCAGATTAACTGGTGTGCCACCCATTACAGCAGAGGTACAGGCCTGACACAGGAATGAACAGTACCTTCATATTTCCTGTGCAGCAACATGACAATGACTCAAGGTCCAAATGAACAGGCTCCCAATGCTTTGTTACTATGTAAGTCTCTGAAAAACTGAACAACTGCCATATCTAAGGGCTGGGAGATCAGCATTGTCTGAATATGTCAGGAAATGGTGGCTGAAATTGGAAGAGCTACTTTCAAAATATTTCTTTGTGTTAAGTTTTTCTCTGTCTCAGAGCCTTTGCACTTGTTACACTCATCTTTCAGATCACTCACACAGCTGGCTCATTATTACCCCAATGTAATTTCCTTAAAAGAGATTTTCCCTAATCAACAAAATCTTCCAACATAGATTATTTTTCTTAATACCACTAAAATCAATTCCTTTTTAAGACTTCTAAAATGTGCATTCATCTTATTAATAGGTTTTACATTTTTCTTATTTATTGTTAAATTACACCACTTGAATTTAATCTTCACAAGCATGGACACTTTGGTGATTCTATTCACTGCAACATTCTCAGCACCTGATAATAATCAATGCCTAGTACACTGTAGGTGCCAATGTGTGTGTGCTAAGTCGCTTCAGTCGTTTCCGACTCTTTGTGACACTATGGACCGTGAGCCCAACAGACTCCTCTGTCCATAGGATTCTCCAGGCAAGAATACTGAAGTGGGTTGCCATGCCCTCCTCCAGGGGATCTTCCTGACCCAGAGATCGAACCCACATCTCCTGTGGCTCCTGCACTGCAGGCAGATTCTTTACCGCTGAGTCACCAGGGGAGCCCGCAGGTGCTAATACATATTTTCTTTCTTTTTTGCCAATAAATATTTTCTAATGGACTGTTGCAGAGACTAACAAAACTGGATTAGAAATTGGGACAGGTTATTTCAGTACCTTTAACTGACCAATAAATCAATGGGGACAAAAAACCTAAAGGCAACAACTTGCCAAATATAAGCAGCTAGTTTCTAGCAGATTCAGCATCAGAACTTTGTTTTGGGGGTACTAAAGGCCCTGCCATTTCCACCGAATCATCTATATAAAAGTAAATAATAAATACTGCAACTGTTACAAGAATGTGGTAAGCAGCATATACATAAGGCAAACAAAGTGAACTATAATTAGTGCTGATGTGCTCAGTCGTGGCCGACTCTTTGTGACCCCACGGACTGTAGCCTGCCAGGTTCCTCTGTCCATGGAATTTTCCAGGCAAGAATACTGGAGTGGGTTGCCATTTTCGTCTCCAGGAACTATAATTAGTATCAACTTTAAATACCATACCTGCCATCTCTTGTCTATTTAACTATGAGAGAAGCAAACAGAATAACTTCCAAATACCTGTGGCAGTAGCAAAGATTGGGAGAACTAAGAATATAGTTAATTCACAAGAGAACTCAAACTACATTTCTTTTCCACCTTCTCTTCTAAATCCTTGACCAGCGTTTCTTAACATACCATAAAGGCATTGCTACAATGTTCATGCTGGAGAAAAGACATGGGGTAACTGTTCCAAATAATCTATACCTAGAATATTAGGCCTAAAATGCCTTATACTAATTTTGTAATTAATGATTTTCTTCTTTTATCTTGGCGAAAACAGGAAATTTACACATTATGACTACTGCCTACTGGGACTAAAGTAGACCACCCATATCCGTTTTCTAAGTTATAATCACTCATTTAAACAAATAAAACAAGTCATATTCAAAAAATTCCTGAAATAACATTTTTTGTCCAAATTAAGCTTTTTTTCTTATTAATAATGATGATTAAAAGAACAGGAAGGATCTTCATGTTGTACCAACTTCAAATTGGGTATGACGAAATTTCGATATTAACAATCATTTCCTTCCAAAAGGGATAATAAGAATGAGAGAGAAACCGTTCCCCTTTGAAGCAGTTATTGTTTTTGTTGTTCAGTCGCTAAGCCATTGTCCAACTCATGGCGATCCTATGGACTGCAGCACACCAGGTTCCCCTCTCCTTCCCTGTCTCCCATGTCCATTGAGTCAGTGATGCTATCTAACTTCCCCTTCTCTACCACCCTTCTCTCCTCTTACCCTTAGTCTTTCCCAGAATCAGTCTTTTCCAATAACTTGGTTCTTCACATCAGGTGGCCAAAGTATCGGAGCTTCAGCTTTAGCATCAGTCCTTTCGATGAATATTCAGGGTAGATTTCCTTTAGTAGTCATCAGTGATGAGCAAAAGTCTCTGGGATGTCCTTCACAAAAGTGAGATCTAAATCTGCTATAACTTGGGAAAATTTTTTGGAAATTTTAAAAGCAGTGTGATAATACCAGAGTATTATTTGACATAATTTGGGTAGAGAAGGAAAGATAGTATAAAAATGCCTGTTATACGCCTCTAGGAATCTTGAGGGTTTTTTTCCCCTCACTGCTTATTTTAAAATTAGCTTTAAAAAATTAAACAATTACTTAAAGAAAATGAAAAAATTAGCCCTAGTCCGGAGGAGGAAATCACACCTGACTGTCAAAACAAATAGTTCTGGATCTTCACCCCTCAATGAAGAGACTGACAATGTTAAGGAGTAACTGAATGACTGCCCCAGGGGATTCTGCAACTCTTCCCTCTCCCTCTTTCCCCCTCTACTTTTAATCACTAAGTGACAGTGGTTCCCTTACCAGGTTGGTCATTAGAATCTACTACAGTGTTTTAAAAAATACAAATTCCTGGGTCTAAGTCCTCAATGTTTCATTCAGTGGTGATGTGTCCAGCTCATGCTTAGTGTGTCTAGGGGGCAAGTCCGTACTGACCACACTTACATAGTTCGTGAATGTGGCCACGCGATTCCCCGTCACAATAAACCCCAAAGGGTTACTGTCAAAGTCCTGTGAAAGTTATGTAAAAGTGAATATACAGGTCTTAAGCTTAACTAGTTAAGAAGCATGAACAATAGTTGCTTCCCAACCATTATGAGAATGAGAAACTCATCAAAGCCAAATGGAGGTTACCCTGCTCCTCAAGGATGGATATGAACATATAGGCAGGTGAGACTGGAATCCAGTCAGAAAGGGCAGATACAGGAACTAAGTGTTAACATTCAAGAACAAACCACCAATCCACTTATTTTTGCATGGTGGAGACAGAAAACTCAACAAAGGAAGTGGGTCAGAAAAGATGACTAAGAAGGAATGCATGCCACTCTAGAGAACATTTGATCCTAGAGCTGGGTAAGTCGGGAATATTTCAGAGTGGAATCACAAAGAGGTCTTATCCATCTATAGGAATAGATTGACTTTTGCTTTCAAGATCTATATCATTTCCTCAGTAAAAGCTATTCCCACAACATCAAGAATATGGTTTCACAGATTCCTGTAATCAATGGGTTAATTTTGACTGTAGAGACAGCTACTTTCAGACTATATTCTGGCAGCAGTGAGAAAGGGCTTTGATTCTAGGGACACCTTCTTATGAAGGGACAGTTTTAAAGGAACAATCTTAGCTTACACCTAAGGTCTCCCAGGCGGAGAAGGCAATGGCACCCCACTCCAGTACTCCTGCCTGGAGAATCCCATGGGTGGAGGAGCCTGGTAGGCTGCAGTCAATGGGGTCTCTCAGAGTCGGACACGACTGAGCAACTTCACTTTCACACATTGGAGAAGGAAATGGCAACCCACTCCAGTGTTCTTGCCTGGAGAATCCCAGGGACGGGGGAGCCTGGTAGGCTGCAGTCCATGAGGTCACACAGAGTCGGACACGACTGAAGTGACTTAGCAGCAGCAGCAGCAAGCTCTCCCAGGAAGTCTTTTCTGAACATTTAGGCTGCATGCCTGTTCACTGGGTCTCAGGACATTGCACATACCTTCTTTATAGCACTTACTCAGTAACTTAGAAAGTAACTATTCACACATGTGACACAAAAAAACATGCCTGTTTGAAAATGAGAATTTTTTTTTTTTTTTGCCTTCCTATCCCTAGGATCCTAGGAGAGTAACCAGGATATCAAAAGTGCTGAAAAAACATTTGGTGTTTTGTTTGCTGATTCAGCCTGTTGTTCCCAGAGCACAAACAGTAATCTTCTCTCAGTGTCTGGTTCAGCCACACTAGGGAATTATGCAAGGCTGAAGTACTGGAACTCAGAGCAATAGACTCAAGTGCTCCTCCTATCAACAGAGGAATGAGGTCTGCCTGAAGAGACTAAGGAACCTTCTAGCACAAGAGAGGGGACATAGGTAGGAGGAAAAGACTCTGTGTAGTTCTCTCTCCATCACTTTCTACCCCAAGAATTTATCTCAAGTCCAGGTGCCTAGAGGAGGCAGCAGCACACTAGAAGACAATAAAATGTTTTCTCTTCTGAGTCTAATTTTAAGACAGTACCCAAAGATGTATCCTTGAGAATTTAGAGGACCCTGAGGTAGAGGCCAAACCTTCCATGTGAGTTGCTACCTTTTCCTGCCACTTGAAACACAGTTCAAAGGAACGATGTTTTGCTCTTACCCAAAAATTATTCCCCTTGGGTTTCTTGTTTTCTTCCATTTTCTTATTCGGCGTTTAAAAAAAAAAAGAAAAAAGAAAAAAAACATGGTTAGCTAGGTGGGAAACCTCAAGGCCAGCTTAAAAACTGAATTCCCAAGACTGCTCCTATATGAAGACCGAAAAGCAGTTTACCTAGCACCTGCATCTGGACCAGGAAACTAAGGATCAGACAAAATACGGAATTTACCTAAGGTGACACAGACAGAAAGTCACAAAGCTTGAATTCTTACCCAGGCTTTTTGATTCCTGAGGTCCATGCTCTTAAACCCTCCACCATTTGTGCCCAGATAAAAAAACAACCAACAATCAGGCTGGGTAAGTTTCTGTGGGAAAGGGCATAGACATGGGGCTCACAACATTTCAAGACCCATGTCCTCAGGCTGGAGAATGGAAAGCTTCAGGGCAGAGGTAACTATGGCTCAAGTGTCTGATTAGAAAGGGGAACAGGACAGGACACAGATTCCACACTCAGGTTGACTCAGATACATCATACCTGGAGAAACTCGGCTGTTTCATTTGACAGCCCAGTGATGAGCCAAATCCTGCAATTCACTTGGCCAATCACAGGAGCTTCTTCTTCTGTTAGAAATACACTGGATGGAGAAAATCAGGTAGAAGACAGGGGCATGGGGCAAGGAGAAAAGGGGATCAATGAAAATGGAGTCAGGAGAAAAAGATGGGGTAGTAAAGGAGGCGGAGAGGACGAAGAGGTTGGAGATTATTCCTCTCACCTCAGGACACTGTCACAGCTGTCATTTCCGGTTCAGAAATGCCATATGGTTAGGTTTAGAATCAGCATTCACAGGACCCTTTTAACTCATCCCTTCCAACCTTCTGATCTCTTAACAATTATACTGGGAAGGTAAACTGGCCAAGTTTATACAGTCAGTAAGGGCAGAGGTAGGACTATAACTCAAGTCATCAAGATTTTAGCCCTGTGGTTTTTTGGTGAGACAACAAGATCTCCCCAAATTTTAAGTAAAACTCAATCAAACCAGGATAAAAATGAGTGTATAATTTAAGTTAGAAAAAAATCATTCTTGGGTCCATGAACAAACACAAACCACATGTATAAACCTATGTGCATAGTTGCTCAGTCATGTCCAACTCTTTCCAACCCCGTGGACTGTAGCCTGCCAGGCTCCTCTGTCCATGGGATTCTCCAGGCAAGAATACTGAATTGGGTTGCTGCTTCTTTCACCAAGGGATCTTCCTGACACAGGGATCAAAGCTGGGTCTCCTGCATTGCAGGCAGATTCTCCACCATCTGTGCCATAAGGGAAACCCCATGCACACATGCACACTTATAAGCCCACATGGAAGTATGCACACAGTCACAGCTAAGACAGTGTGAGAGACGAACAGTAAACAAAAGGAGAGACATGAAGTGAACACCCAGGTCAGAGAAATCTCACATACACGAGTAGGGTGACTGGGAGAGATGCCAAACCACACCAAACCCAGATTACCTTTGGCTGATTCTTTGTTTGGATGACTGGGGAGAACCTGAAGTGAGGCTAAAGACTCTGGATCATTTCATCTAGGAAATAAAATCTGAGAATGAACTTAGTCTTATTTCACCTCTATCTGCTTATGTCCAAAGACTCTAGACATAAAACTATCATTCATTAATTAATTCATTTATTATTTTTAAAACTTATTATGAGCTATTTTAAAGCATATAGAGAACTATGAGGAATAACACAGCAGATCCATAGGTACCCTAACTCAGGCCTACTAATTCTTGGCATTGGTCAGAAGATGCAGAGACTACCTAACTACACAATACCTATATAAAAGACTTTCTCTCTTTTTTCACTAATAAGATAATTCTGATTTTATTTAAGATACCAATGTATCTTAGCTACTGGACCCATCAAGGAAGTCCCTCAATTTTTCCTTTCAAATAGTCCTTCCCTTCACTAATCAAAAGAAAGGCCTAGTGTTCATGAACATAAAATTTTATGATGGTGTATACTTCCCAAGTGTAAGAACTAGGGCATCAAAAAAAGGAATAACATGAAATACAGCTTCAGTGAAGCCTCCTCTAGGTTAACAAAGACACTCATTAACTCACAGTAGGGTTTCCTGTATCCAACATATTTGGTTAACATATAGTATTTAGAAATTGGGTATTTTGGGCCCTTTTGGGATGCTCTGAATAAAAATGTTTGTAAAGCAGGACACTATAACTGATAAAAATTTTAGTTTCATAATTTGGCCTCTTCTATTCCTTGATTATTTTCAAAGAAGGCTTTCAAATAGTCTTGTGGGATGAAGTAAGGGTCTAGTCAGGGTCTAGTAAAGGTCTAGTAAGGGTCAAGTGAATAGTGAGAATGAATATTTATCTGAAAAGTGGCAGCAATTCTTTTCCTCTATTCTTAACATTCATCTCTAGTATTATAAAGAAATCCCACTTATTATAAAGAAAAGGAAATTCAAACACCTAAAACAGTCCAAAGTCTAGGTTGATAACATTGATTATTTTAATAGTAAAAGGCTGTCAACAATTATATTCTTCTAAATGCAATTCCTTCCACATAGCTTCCAGAAAATCACCCATCAGGAAAGAAAACAAAATCACCCATCACCTAT